ATCGCTCGCAAGGCATTCTTGACAAAGCTGCGGGAGTGGCGCCAGCGCTCGTCCGTTTCGTCTGTTTTTTTATTATTACGGGAACCCCTGCGCCTCCGGAAGGTGCGACAGGGTCAGGGATGTGAGGCATCCCTATGGTGGGTTTTTGGGACAAGACTTGCTGCACAAGAAAAAGGCGAACGGGGAACACATGTGAACAAGGACGCTGGCTGCGTCTTCTCCCCAACCAAATGAGGAGCTAGCCGCATTGCTTGATGATGTTTACGTCACCACCAGGTCGCCAAGAGCACGGCATGCGTTGGACATGGTTACTGGGGCCATTGCATCGCACTGCGGCATCGCCGCCAATCTAGGCAAAGGCCGGCTGGTGATGGTGTTTGGTGCATGGCGTTTGGTGCTCAGACAAAGCAACCACAAACGTGAACCGCGTGGCCACGGAACGCGTGTTCCTTGCCTCGCGTCCCAACCCTGCAATGCGCGTGGTTGTTGATGGCCATGTGCGCAGACACAGCTTTGTAGTAACGCTGCTTCAGTGGTTGCAGGCCTGCCAGCTGCCATTGGTGGCTTGGGGCTCAGCTCAGCTGCGCGGGTCTCCCGCGGCTTACTGGGCGGGATGGGCCACTGCGCTCACGGTCCGCCGTATCGTGGCCACAAGCGGAGGCAAGGGTTTGGCACGGGGCAAGTTGCGCGGCAGGTAGTTGGCACGCGGCGCCGCACAGCAGCAGTATCAGCCACGCCGACTCCAAGTGCGGCACGGCAGGAAATGGGCCGCGCTCTTCTCGGCTAGGAATATTTGTGTGAACGCGTGGCTGCCCGAGAGGACCCGAGGACCACGACCCTTGCTTGTTGGGTGGCCCCAGCTGGGGTCCTTCGCGGTCCCGACGTCCTAAACGCCGTGCGAACCACTTTGCTTGACCACTTTGTTTGAACCACTTTGTTTGAAACAAAGGAACGTTTCTTTTCTTCTCCCCCTGTCTTGTTGTTGGTCAGTGACGTGCTTGCTGACGGCGGGGAGCCGTTTGCCGCGCGCAGCCGCGTCCGGTGAAGGGTGCCCGCCTGCACGTGAGGAGCTGGCCTCCGTAAAAACAGCGGCAAAGACCTCCCGTGCCCGGAGGCGCCCCTTAAAATCCCCCCTGAAACACGTTGAGGCCACTGCGGAAAAAGGCGCGCGCGCGGAAAACAAAAATCACTTTTTTCACTTGGCCGCCAGGCCATTCTGGAACTACACCACGCCGAAATCTCCGCTGCCCTGCGCGTGCGTGTTGATCACACGCGCCCGTTTCGCCTGCACGCACGTATTGCACGGGCAAGACCCTGCCTGCATGAGCGCCCCGCACGACGAGCCACGGCAGGCGACGCAGCCGCGCAAAGGCAAGCGGCTGGCGCCAGCATCGCAAAGGCGGTGGACCCAACGCCCTGCTGCACCGCGACCGAAAGCTAGGCCGTTGCCAACCTTCAGTAGGCCAGCGCACGGCAGCCGGGGCCCGCAAGTTGCGGACACCGTGCAAGGTCCCGCTGCTCCATCCTCTCCAACGCCCGGGGTTGAGGAGCAGCTGAGCAAATCAACGGCGACACAAGCGTTGCGTCACAGGACAGCGCTTGCCTTCAAAGAGGAAACGCCATAGATGACCAGGTCCAAGCGGCGCCTGTCGCGCGCGTCAACGCCCGCGGTGTGGGCGAGCCATTGCTGTGGCACCCCTGGCCTTCGGGGCCCCTAGCCTCAAGCGCAACCCACCCAGGCCCGCACGATTTCGGCACGTCGAGCAAGCAGACCAGTCTGCAGTGGCGCTCCCGGACACGGCCAGTCGGCAGTCCCAACTTGCCTTCCACCATGGTGGACGGGCTGCGTTCAGCCCGGCGTTTTGGGCCTCGTGGGCTGACAGCTTGTCGGCGACACCGCAGAGATCCCGACCTCGCGCAACATATTGTACGCCAACTGGAGCCGGATGTGCCTTGTTGCCGTGTCATGGGCATGCTCCGGGTAACCGTGACATGTCCGCGAGCTGGTGTCTTGCGAGCACGGGGCGGCCCACTTGAACGGGCGGCAGCACGCAATTGTCGTGAAGCAGGGGCCGTGGTTGCTATGCGCATTTGGTCAGGGACCTCAATGTCGGCAGCGTGGGCGGATTGAAGTCATCGCCAGTGGCTTGCCCTGTGGGGTGGCATGCAACTAGCTGTGGATACCACGCTGGTGTCGGCCTTGTCCTCTACAGGCGCCCCGCGGCGTCACCAGAGCCGAGCCGAGGGTGCAGCCTTGCGCCAAGCCCGACGGGCCAAAGAGCTGGTGGTCCTTGCGCTTGAGGTTGGAGGGCGCTTCAGCCCGGAAACCTTGCGCGGCTGGTCCTTCTTCTTGGCCGCAAGCGCGAGCCGGGCGTTCGCTGCCAGCCTCTTGGCCTTGCCCGCCCACTCGACCGCCGCCCTTGGTCAGTGATGTGCTTGCTGACGGCGGGGAGCTGTTTGCCGTCCGGCAAAGGGTGCTCGCCTGCACGTGAGGAGCTGGCCTCCGTGAAAACAGCGGCAGAGACCTCCCGTGCCCAGAGGCGCCCCATAAAATCCCCACTCCGGAGGAGAATGAAACCTCGAGGCCCCGCAGCCGAGCCCGGCCTGGCCCTGCGCCAGATCCTTGGCCTGGAGGTTCTGAGCCAAACGCCCCTTCTTTAGAGCGGTTGCGACGCCGGTCTGTGCTCGGGGCGCCATGGAGCATCCATCGGTAAGATGCAAAGTCAAAGCGGACTTGTGGGGCGAGTCGCAGCACAGAGCGCTGGCCGCCAGCTCCCGCTGCGGGGAGGCGTGTGTTGACGGCGCAGAGCCGCGGCGCCGCGCTGCCTGCCCATCCGCGTTTCACCCAATAGTGCAGTTGGGAAAAGGCGTGTGAGAAGGGAAGAGTGCAAGGTTCAAGCAAGATCCCGGAGGTTGTGGGGTGGTGTGGTGCAGGCCTCGGGAGACTCCGTGCTTTGGTGCTCCGGAGAGTTGCCCCTGGCGCATGCCAGGGCGCTTCGAATCCGTGCGTCTGAATGGGCTCGGGATGTATCTGTCGCAACTTTTCCACATTTGCAGAATCCACACGGGTTGGGTGCTGTTGGGGACATCCCCTTTCCTGAACTTGCAGGGTACTGCTTTCACGACCTTATATTTGACTTGCTCGCAAGGGTGGTCGCCTTGTGGTGTGCTCTCTTGTCAGCCCGTCCTGCGTGGGCTTTAGACCTGGATTGTGTGGCAGGCGATAGGCGATATTGAGCGACACGTGCTCCTGTATCCGCGCCCGCGCGCCGAATTCGCGCGCAAATGCTGGCGAAACGGCATTTGAGGGGGTGTGCTTACTTTCTTTTTCCCCTCGCACCTGTTTCCTGCGCGCCTCTCTCCTCTTCCGGGCACAGGAAGCTTCACGAACTGTTTTTTTTAAGAGGGCAACCTGCTGATCCTGCGGTTGCGCGCTGGAATCGGTCGTGGTTGTCAAGAAAAATGAAAGCGACGGCAAGGACCGAAGTACTTGCAAAGGGGGCAGTCACATTTGCGCATTCAGCATGCTGGACCTTGGGACTTGGAGGAATGTTGCATTGTACAGTTGGGCTTCGACCGTGCGGCTGGATCTTGGCTCATGCTTAGTCAGCATACTTTTCTCGCGGGATGCACAGAGGCCTTGCCGGGAGCCGCGGAGTGGCTTCCAGGACGGAATCGCAAAGTGTCGATTCAAGCACGCCTAGTTGCACAACGCACTGCGCACTCTCAAGTCATTGTGCTGGTAATGAAAGCTAGTATGACTAGTATGTATACATACAGTTGGCACCTCGCCTTGGGTTTGTGCAAGCGGGGTGAACGCAAACACACATCACTGATGGAGGACTCGATGCCCGATGACCGTGGCGACAGCTTGGCCTCACCGCTGTTGCGGTTGAAACCGTCTCCGGACCAAGAGGAGCATGTCAGAAGTGCACGTTTTTCCGTTGTGTTTGCTTGGAATTCGTTTGCAATGGAACGCTACTGGTTATTCCTGTTCCTTCGTCACTAACCTGTTTCCTCCATGCCGTCAAGGACTTGTCACAAAGGCAATCATTTGGTGAAGACCGAGCCAACGGCGGACACCTTCATCACACCTAAGATTCCTTCCGTGGCGGCCATTGGACGTAAGAAGGATGATGGTGAACCGCCTCGTCTGGACTCGTCTCTATTCCTTTCCCTTCATTTCATTTTGGTTAAGGAATTCATGTAACGGCGAGGGGTAAGGAATCTCTCTCTCTCTCGCCTATCACTTACATCCGTTCGTCTTTCCATTCCATTCCTCTCTACCATCGACTCACTACACAGGGACTTGACCACCGAAGGTACAGGAAAGAGACTGTGAGTGAAGAGATGGGCCGTCTTTTCCCTTGTATCGCCTCGTCTACTCGTCTTTCCAAGTGATGCGACGGAGGAGAGGAACGGATGGGAAAGAAGGACGAGGCAGTCATTTCATTCCTTTCTCATCTGTCATTCCCTTTATCCCCATTCCCTTCAAGTCTTGACGTAGGAACAGACAGGGAATGGCCATCTCTTCTCCATCCATTATCTTCCCTCTGTCCTTATCTTCTCCTTATCATTCATTTCTATAGAGAGTGAAGATATGGAGAAGAGAGAAGGGAAATGATAAAAGCCTTGAATGAAATGGCCAAGCAACATGATTTCCAAGAAATATTGAATGGGTCCTTATCTCCATCTCTTTCTCACATCGTACCTCCTCTTCATCCATGACATGTCAACTCTCCAAAAGAAGCGAAGTGATGAACCGAGTGCTCGGCGAGGTGCCGAAGTTTTTTTCTCATTTTCTCCGTCGTGCTGAACATCTGTTTGGCACCCACGTGTGCTGATTGTGCCAAGGAGCCCACTGCAATTCGACAGAAAGGTTTTCTGGACGACGTGTGGCGGACGCTGCATGCAAAGTTCGGAAATTGGCAGCTCATCCTCTACACGGTGCGCCGTGCTCGCAGCATGCACTCTTGGCATGTCCTGCAGCTGCTTGCGAGGTGCTGCTGTTGGTTGCTTCGGTGGGAAATACTGCCAGGGGCCCAATTCTTTTGAGTTGGTGCGTGTGTTTTGGATGGAGCAGGTCTACTTCAAGCGCATGACCAACGCAATGCAAAACTATGGCCCGCCCCCAAAGCCTATGTTGAGTGGGCTTGGCTCGCATGGCTGCTACGACTTCCACATGTCAGGTGAATTGATACCGTGGATGGACGATTTTTTTGCAGCACCTAAGAAGCCTGGTGTCGGATGATTCCTAAAAAACGGTGTCCCATGGTTTGTGCATAATGTCGTCTGCATGTTTGCAGCTGGGAGACCTGTCTTTCTACACATTTCTAGACGTTCATTTAGGATTGCTAGTCTTAATATTTTAGCAACTTCTGAGTCGTACATGTCATTGGGCTGGCTAGGCTAGCTTTCGTTCACCCGCAGGGTGGTATTTGACCCAGCTCTCCACCCTGATGTACGTGCCGTTCTTTGCCGTGCTGGCGGGCACTGGCATTACACAACAGGCGGCGGTGAATGTTGGTGCTATTTGTAGCGCTTACCTGCCTTCTTGCAGGTAGACCTGACGCTCGCTCGGAGCTAAGCTTGCACGTTTGGTCTCTCAATGGGTAACACGAGCTAGGACAGCCGCCGTTGTGAGATCTCAGTAGCTTTGGAGTCAAAATGATTTCAGAGTGCTTGAAACTGCGTGTCTTTGTCTGAGGTGAGAAAGTTTGCGGTCATGGGAGTCTTTGATGGTCTCAGCGGTACATTCATGGCTGGCGGCCCAGCACCTTACCTTCGGTCAGCTTGCCATACCACCGGCTGCAAGGTGCTGGGGGGTGTCCACACCTCCGGCACGCTGCAAGTGCTGCTGGGGCAGGTGGCTCGACTGTGGGAGTTGTTGCACTCCAGTCATTCTAGGACCTGCACTGTGTCGTATTTTTGGACACGCCCAGGGCTTAGAACCCCTCTTAAAGCTAAACAATTAAGAGAAGCAAACTATGTTTGCCCACGCCGTTTCTACCACAGGAGAATTGACGCAAAATGAGCTGAAATGGTCCAAAAGCACGGTTTGCGTGGAAATAGTCAAGCAGCTTGGTGGTTTTCAAGCGGGTAAGGGTGTAATCCCAGGCTTCAATAAGGAAACCCTTGGAGCCAGTCAATGTCGTCCTTAGGGTTTAGGGTGCTTTGTGGCCAAGAATTTTGAATGCGTAATCCAATGACCCAATCCCAGTTAGTCTTGGGGCGAAGCTCCAAGTTGGGCATGAAAGGCATCGTTTGACAGTCACAGTCCTGCGTTTTTCTTGATATCCGGAGCTGCCTTGCGAGGCTGTCATCCCAGTTACACTGTTCCTCTCTGTTGGGGCCCAAGCTGTGAAAATGCGTTGGCAGGTGGGCTGGGTTTCGATCTTGCGAGGTGATCCTACTGCAAAAGCAGTACCACATCTTGCAGTATGTCGGTGCCGCCACCATTGTGCTGGGCATCATTTTCGACAAGGCGTGGGTGCGGAAGTCTGAGAAGGTCCTTGGGCTTACTGTTTGCTGATCGCCTTTCAGCTCACCGAGAAATTTTTGCGCCAGGTGGTTGAAGGCTCGGGTGGCAGCATGGAGCGGGGGGCGGGCTTTCTTGCGGGGGGGATGGGGCAGTGCGCTGTGCTCGGCTTTGGCTTGATGGGTCGCCATGCAGCGGTGCGTGAGTCCCAACAGTTTCATTTTGTTTGATCCTTTGTAGAAAGGATGCTTTTGTTGGTTTTGTTGATTAGCTCTATGTTTCCAGCTGGATATTGTTCAAGCCACCAACCCGTACAGGATTTGCTTGCCGCATTGTTCAGCTCTGGATGTCTTCAAGCGCAATGACCGCGGTGCCAAAGTTCGCCGCCACGGATGCCCAGAGGGCACGTCGCCGGCAGCTGCTCCAGTCGGCGGGCCCTGTGGGGCGCATGCTGCTGGGGGATGCGCTGGGCGACGCCTTTGGCTTTGGCATCGAGATGCAGGACGCGGGAAGGCGTTGCATTGAAAGCTCCAAGCAGCTAGGCGCGGTTGGAGAGCTTGTGGACATCTCTTGGGTATTTTACCCGTTCATTTGCCGGCTTGTCCGAGCTATGCACAGAGGGCCAGAATGCAGGAAGCCAAAGTGAGGCACAAGCCCGTCAAGGAATGTGAGGTGAGAAGCCATAAGCTACAGCGGCGAATGCAGTACCAGACATTTGCTGCTTTGTCCTCTGCACCAAACGCATGCCGGCATCGCCTCATTCCACTCGAAGGTGCATGGAAACAAGGCTCAAAGTTGGCGTCAGACATGATAAACAACGGAGTGGGAGCTTGTCAGTTTTTTGGCAATCGGTCTTACCAACTGTTTGTGACTGTTTCCTCTTTGGGCAGCAGACATGGTCATAACTTTCATTCATTCATACCACGCTGCACAAGGGTGCCGCCAAGGGTTTGTTTGTTTGCATCCAGCATTGCAATCAGATCATACTTGATTGTACCCAGCTTGTTCACATCCCAGGGTTGATATGGCTTGCTATTGAAGATTCGACATGGGGTACGTAGCAGTGTAGCATTCCTGCAGGATGCTCACTGGATTCGGGAGAATGTGACCGATTGCATGAAGTGGCCCAGCAATCCTGCGATGCTTGCCAGCCACAAGGTCAACAATGTCAGGACCGCATGTTCGAAACTGTGCGAACCAGAGAGCCAAACCACGTTGCACTTCCTGAGGGGGCACATGTTGGCTTGGACCTGTCTTGCGTTGAACATGCGCATGTTTTCCATGAATCCTGCTGTACCCCCCCTTTCCAACCCCTTCCCCCCCCATCCCCCATCCACCCCCACCCCCGGGATTCGGAGGGGCATGTATTCCGACGATTGCGAGATGACGGTGGGCGTGATGATGGCGCTGGTGGCCCACGGCACCGCCCTGGACGAGGCGCAGCTGGTGGCGGCCTGGCAGCAGCAGTGGGAGCTGGCCAGGTGCCGCCCCCTGCCGGCCGCGCCGGGGGGCGAGCGCGCCGGCCACGGCAGCATCAAGGCGCGGGTGAGGAAGAAGAGGAAGGCCCTTTTTGCCCGAAAACGCCGATTTTCAGACCCTGAATTCCGTTTTCAGACCCCTGAAAACGCTCCAATTCCCATTTTCAGATCCTGTTCGGATGGCATTTTGCACTGGAGTAATTGAAGTATGTTGCGGCTCTCTCGAGGAAGCCCATTTGTCAGATTCCGCAAGCGAGCGCCCCTATGGCCCATGAGCCCATGGAGACCAAGACAACTCACAGGCGTCACACTGATCTGAGCAAACCCAAAAACAAAACGAGCAGTTGCACTCAAGAGAATCCGAGCTTCTGGGCTTCTCTCGGAGCTTCTTTCCCGATTTTGCCAAGAGATGCAGCAGCGCAGTTGCTGCATCCCCCAACAGGACGTCTTCAGGGGCAAGGCCTCCATCCAAGAGGTGAAAGACCTGCAGGCCGCCAGGCCAGATCCCGGCAACGCGCCGCCCATGCGCGCGCTGCCCCTGGCATTTCTGGCCCCTGCGGACCTGGAGCGATTGGCGGAGTTGAATGCAGATGCCACGCACCCGCACCCCAAGGACGGGGTTGGACGGGACCGGGGGGTCAGATGTATGGATGCCCTGATTTATGGAGAGCTCACCTGAAAAAAGAAGCGAAAGCCGTGGCAAAGATCCTTTACTTGAAATCCTGGTTGTTCAGGTTTGGACATATGGTGCAACTTGCAGTTGGCTGTAGGAGAGGAACCAATGTTTTGCAATGTCTGCCAGATGAAAGAGCGGATGCTGCACTTCTAGGAAGACACCCTCTACTAGTCATCTGCCAAGTTGATTGATCCCGGAGTTGCTTTTGCGTTTCCGTCAGGCTAGAGCTGCCAGCTTTCTGATGGCAACTGCAGCTCGCTGGCTTATCGTCGAGCAGGGCAGCAAGGACCGCATCATCGCAGTCGCGCGCGAGCGTTTGCGGGCGAGTGCGCTGCGGCATGAAGAGACGGACCAGCACCTGCAAGCGGTTTCGGAGCTACCTGACTACCATTCCTTCGGCCAGAGCCTCAAAAAGATGCCAGCAGAGGTGCACGCGGTGCTCTGTGGCCCTCAGCCACATGCAGATTTGAAGCATTGCCCTGGGGGCCACTTGGGCACTGATGCCGTGCATGGTCTTCCCTGCCATGCCATGCTGACCGTGGGTGTGGTGTTGTATCTGCTGCGCTTTCACCGCGGGCCACGTGACGTTCTGCTGGCCTCGGTTCAAATGGGGGGCGACGTGGACTCCATCGCCGCGCTTTGCCTGGGGGTGGTCGCGGCGGAGAAGTTGGTCTTTGGCACCGGGGGCTTGCCGTGGCGCCTCCTGGAGGAGCTGGAGGGGGTAGAGTTCCTCTTGGCGCGGGCCAGGGAGTTTGAGGCGTGGCTGAGGAGGCAGGGCCTTGGGACGCACAAGGCCAATGCAAAGAAGCGACCGGCAGCGGCACTGCTGAAACGACCAGCCAAAAGCCGCAAGTGAGACACCTGAGGCAACACGTTTGAGCTGTTCCCGAAAGGTGTCTCTTTATGGGCCCTCTCAGCCCAAGAGCGTATGCGCCAGGATGCCTCAAGACATGTGCTGTGCGGCGATGTGTTGACAGGTCGGCAAGGGATCACAGATTGCATTGGTGTGCTGTGACAGTGCGTAGGGCGGCCAGCAAGGCGTAGCTTAGCAGCATGGCATGCTGGCTCAGCGCCTAGACTTCGCCTTAGCACCCGCAGCTTGGCTCAGCCTATCCCGAATTTTGGAAGCTTCACTGGTCGACATGTCAGTCGCTGAGCTGCAAGCAGGCATCAAAGCCGGCCGACGGCGCTTTGGGATGCTTTGGGCCGCCACGATGTCTCATGCAGATGTCTCACGTCCAATCCTCCCAAGCTGGGCTTAGGCATTCGAGCGCATCGCCTTCGAGACGGCCGGCAAGCCCATCAAATGCAAGGCCGGATGGCGACCGCGCCAAATGGCGCGAGGGGCCCCTGGAGCTGAGGCCGCCGTGGCACGAGGGGTGAATGACCTCAAGGTGGAGGCACGGAAACTCAGGGCTCAGGGCGGGCTCAGGGCGGGCTCAGGGGGCTGGGCCGCGTCGGGCGCGCTTTGAAGGAGATCACCGTGGCTCCCCCCGGCCCTCGAGAGGTTCGCCTTAAGGCTTGCACTTCGGAGCTTGCACTTTGGACACTCTGCGCAAGCGAATTCTTACTTTGAAACAAAGCTCACTGACGAGGTGCACACCAATGCACTTTGCCACACCGATATCTACACGTGGCCCAGATGATGCAATCGCGAAACCGCCGATGCATCTTGGAAGCTCTCGTGCGAGCCAAGGCTCTCCGGTCAGGATCCTGAGGGCCTCTTCCCTTGCGACTTGGTTTGGGGCAGTGACCGATTGACACAGCCCCCAAAGCGACCCGTGTGTTCCTGAGGCATCCTGGGGCATGAAGCCGGGAGCGTCGTCGAGAGCGTGGGAGAGGGCGTCGTAGGTGCGACGAAATTGGGTTTTTCTCAGGGCGCAGGGTTTTCGGCGAGGTCTGAAGCCTGGCGACCGTGCCATCCCTTGTTACACGCCCCAGTGTGCCGAACCCGTATCTTGGCTACTGGACATGGTTCATGGCTGTGCCTTCAGCTCGGGTGCTCGAGCTGAGGAATGCATCTTTTGCTTTCCTCCTCGTGGCTGCTTGCAAGCGCGATGTGAGAAATTGCATCAGGGAGGGGAGAAAGGGATGCCAGTTGCCAGTCAGAGCTCGAGAATGCGTTTGGCCAGCAACTCCTCAGTACCACTTCTTGGCTCTTGCCGCACCGAGGAAAGCGCACCAACCTTTGCCCTAAGATCCGCGGCTCCCAAGGCCGGCAGCCAAATTGGGATGGCACAGTTCACGCCGCATGTCGCGATCCGAGGAAAGGGCGTGATGCCGGATGGCACCTCCAGGTTTACAGATTCAGAGGGCAAGCCGATCTGGCCGCGCCCTCAGGGATACAATGCACTGGCTGATCCTTTGCACGCCCGAGGCATTTCATGGGCTGTTCCACCTTCTCTGAATACACTGTGGTGGCCGACATCTCCTGTGCAAAGGACTGGAATCAGTGAGTTGCAATAGTCGGGGCTGATGGAGCATTTGCGGGCGAGCAGCGTTTCAACAGGCTTTTGGACCTTGCAGGTTTCCGACACTGCTCCCCTGGACGCAGCTTGGCCAGAACGGGAGACGCAAGTGTCCCTTTGTCCATTGAGTAACCCCAGGGGTGTTATGTGAGTCTAGGTTTGCTCCCTGCTCGGCTGCGGCGTGGCGTCTGGGCCCTGGCTTGGGCATTGCCTCCCAGTGAGGGGTCCAGGAACCCACGTGCTGAGGACCGGCTTGGGCGCGGTGTGGAACACCATGGACGTGGAGGGCGGCGCTACCGCCGCTGTCTTCGGGCTGGGCGCTGTGGGATTGTCCGTCGTTCAAGGCCGAGAGGGGAGGGCGCCAGCCAAGGATTCCATGGTGTAGATACTGTGGGTGGTTGCGACATCCGAGACCGCAAGCCATGGTTGAAACTATAACGTTTGTTGGTATTTAGAGGGGATTCACCATTCCAGTTTTTTTTCCTTTTTTTTTTTTGGGTGGTGTAGGATGTTGTTCATCCACACGGATGGAGTTGCCCAGGCTGGGACAATACAAACAGAGAAGAGCAGCCACACATTCATAGCACGCAAGCCTTGGATTCCTCTCAGCCAATGGATGCAGATGCTTTGACGGTTAAGAGTTCAATTTCGTTTTTTGGCTGGTATCGGCTTGGTTTTTAATTTATTGGTATCGGCTTGGTATTTAACTTACATTTCTTCTGCGTTTCAGCGGTTTTGCCAAGATGCTCTTTGATCAATGCTCGTTGCACGATGGAAAGTTCCGCAAAAAAAAAAGAAGGCTGCGCCATGCGCGGATGCTCACGAATCTTTGTCATCGACATGCCGGGCCCTCGGCGGCTTCACAATTCTCGGGTGACACGCAGATTTCCCAAAGAAAGGTTCAGCCGCCAGTCAGTTTCCAAGGCCTGCGTTGGCTGGGAATTTTCTGAGAGTCCCATTGCCTTTTTCAATTCAATCAGCCAGCCTGAGAACTTGGGGGTGGTGGACAGACAGACCCACAGACCAGGAAACTGAGCTCAGGAACCCCAAGAAGTTCGAGTGCGCCAAGATGCTGGGCGCCACGGACTGCATCAACCCCAAGGACCACGACAAGCCCATCCAACAGGCACGGAGAGCGAGTGGCCATGTGGACATTGCGGATGGTGCCTCAATAGCGGAGCTTGCGCAAGGTGCTTGTTGGCATGACCACGTGGGGAGTCGACTACACCTTTGACTGATGCCAAGCTGCAACAAACTAGAGCCGGGGAAGCATGTTGAGTTTCTCTTGGCCGGCGCCGGTTCCAAGCTCTTAGCAGGACGTTTGGGTTGAAAGGTTGGCTTTACCTACCCTGAGCCCAGCCAGCTTGTGAGAGCGGACCACTGGCCCATCCAATTGACTACTCACGGAGCAGTGGCTTACAAGGCACAGGCAACACCGAAGTGATGCGCGCGGCTCTGGAATCTGCTCACCGTGGCTGGGGTGAGAGCTGCGTCATTGGCGTGGCAGGTGCTGGGAAGGCGCGGCTAGGAAGGGTTTGCATGGCTTGGCCGGTTTGGCCGGTTTGGCCCACTTCCATGGGCTTTAGCACACCCGCGGGTCGCGTGCAAGGAGATCAGCACCCGGCCTTTCCAGCTGGTGACAGGCAGGAGGTGGGCAGGCACTGCGCCTCGACGCACTGGCGCAGAGCCGAGGTTCCTTTTCAATCCTTTTCATCTTGCTGGTGCGGTAGGTAGGGAATGTGGGAATGAATCCAGAAATTCCCCTCAAAGCAAACCACCAGTTGGATGGTTCATAGGGGTCATTCCATGCAACTCATTTCCTGCATCTCTCGCACCGATCGCAAGAGTCATGTGGTCAAATGCCTAGGCGTTTGGAGGATGGAAGAGCCGCACAGAGGTCCCTTCGCTGGTGCAGGCCTATGAGGACTGGCACTCACTTTATGGGCCGCGTTGGAGCCATTGGCCACTGCACTTTGCAATGGTTTTCATGTTGACCGCATACAAGTCATAACCAACCTGTTTATGCATAGGGGGGTGATTCCAACCGGTGTTGGTGGGGAATCAGACCACTTGGTGAAGCGTTGGGGTGGCATTGGCGCCAGGCGTATGTCCATTGGGTACGTCTGAGCAGGCTACTGCTATTTTTCACAAACCGGACATCTGGAATCCCCAAGCAGGTTAAATAAACCTTTGTACTGGTTTAAGGTTGACCCCATATAAATCAACCCCTGTGCTGTTCATAGGGAGGTGATTCCAACCGGTTTTGGTTGGAATCAGACCACTTGAGGGGAAAAAGCCACACCCCTCTTGTCAACATTCGTCGATGCGCTCTCGACCCGTAGCTTCAGGCGGGCCGCTTGAAGCTGGACCACTACATCACGCACCGCTTTAAGGGCGTGGAAGGCTTTGCCGTTCAAATGCGCCGAAGCTCGGGAACGTGAAGGGCAAGGGAAAGTCGAACAAGTCCCAGCCAGAAATTGCGCGCCGCGGTATCGTTCTTTACATTGGCTTGGATACACCATGTTAATACCAGGTTGTGAGTGTGATTCAAGTGACGGACGGCCTTGGGATGTGCAGGCACAATGCAGGCCATCGAAGCGCTGCACAGCGGGGATTGCCTTCGCGCCGCAGCTTGGTTCGCATCTACCGGGTGCTCGGCTTGGGGATGCCTCTCATCAGCTTTCGGGCAGCCTTCGGCTGAAGAATCCGGTGTTGACTTGACAGCTATTGGGTTGGATCTTTAGACTTTCAAACAAATGCAGAGGGGTCAACAGCAACCCAGTTGACAGCGGCTTGTTTGCAAAGCGCGTGGCTTTCTTTCGTGCGGCCCTTTGTGTGGCGCCAAGGCAGTCACCTACTGAGCACCGCCAGAGCTCGATGGCAGTTTTAAACCACGGGGATTGCCCGACAGACTAGGATGGGCACAGGCAAGCCTTATCTGCGACTCAACTGGCGGCTCTTATGCAGCGCGCCTCAAAAAGAAGCCTCTCGCGGCTCGCCTGATGTCGTGGGGGCGCTGGAGCGTGTGATGCGCAGCTTGGCTCGCTCCCCAGCTCCGGCGCTTGAGCCATGGCGATGGCGGGGGCCTCTGGGCTCCGGCTTGGCGTAAAACGCCCAACTGCGGATGAGACCGCACCGCGAAGTGGATCACTGGTTTAAGCCTTGTGGTTGTTGGTGCTTACAGGAGTTTCATCACTCCCGGGTTTCTTGGGCGGCGCGAAATGCCACGGTACGTCCCTTTCTTGACGCCGGTGAGGCTTTGCGATTCCTGCGGCCGCTGCGGGGCGTCCGCGCCTTTGCGGCGCAGCCCATCAAGTGCAAGGCGAAGGGGGATGGGCGGAACATGGGCTGCTTCCCTCGGGAGGACGTCCGTTCACCATACCGTTCCGTGCCTCGGTTTGTGCAAAAAGGCCCTTTCCAAGAGGAAAGTCGTCTTTCTACAGGGGTCTGTGCACAAACCCATGTTAGCTTGCGGGTAGCCATGCGCCGCATGGCGGCCTATGTTGAGTCGTGCAAGAGAGGTGCAACAAAAACCTGGTCACCTTCAGGCCGCTGTGGCGCGCGGCGTCAACGATCTGCGGGTGGAGGCGCTCCCATGTTCCGGGAGAGTCCTTCAGTCCGTCCCCACTTGATCCGAAGAGGATTCCTTCGGTGCATTTTGCTTGGATGTTAAGACTTGAACTTTTTGCCAACTGGTTTCCCATGAAACCACTAAGACTTAAAAACTTTTAGCAGGGGTTCGCAGATTTCGCAAACGAGATTCGGAAGTGTCCTTTGGGCCGAAGGGTGATTGTTGCTATAGCCGCAGGCTCAGTGCGGCCTTTGTCCTTCGAAGTCTCGAGGCTTGAGCGAGGCCCCCGAAAAAGAACTCCAGGAAGTCACCGTGGCTCCACCAGGGCCAAGAGAGGTTCGGCTGAAGGCGGGACCACGCTTGAGCCAGAGCACAGATGCGGCATATCCCTTGGCGTAACGGCCGGAATCGCTTGTTACCAATAATGCCTCCTGCGGTATTTTGGCCCAAGAAAAGGCAATTTAGGCCCTACCAGAGTTTACGCCTGTATTCCTGCCATATACCATCCGTTTATGCAAGCCATGTCGCGCTCCTTGGCTGCTATCAGGGAATTTCTGCCTTATGTGCACGTTGAAGTCTGTGAACAGGCAGCCAACACGACAAGCCTTTCTCAGGTTTGTTGCTTGCCGGCCTGGTGCTGGCGGCGGCAGAGGCCGTGCACATCGTTCCGCATCTTGTGAGGGTTCCCGTCTTGTTGTTCAGCCCTACTGAAAGTTAAGACCCTTCGTTGGAGAGTGTTTCAAGCGGGAAAAAGAATGGGTACGCTACTTCACCCGCGAAGTGGCCGGCTCTGCCCGCGGGGCGCGTGGCAGGACAACGCGACAGAAGTCCGCGAAGACATTTCCTCGACCAGATCCACTTTCTGGGACACCCTTGAGGGCTTGTGCCTCAGAAGGTCCAGTCTGGCTCAACGGCTTTGCAACACGAGGGGAAATCTCCGTCGCTTGCACGTTCCCAGGCATTTTCGGAAGCACAAAGAAGTTCGTGCACGTGTCTGTGAGACGGTCGCACAAGCTGTTCGGCTGCAGAAGGAAGACGCTTCTTGCGAGGTAGCCTAGGGCCGGGTCACCTTTCACAATGAATACAGCCCCCCATTTAGAAGGAATCTTTGCATTCTCTGCGCGCTTCTTCTGTTAGACGCAAGTGGCCTTGCATTCAGTTGAAATGTGTACTGGGCAATGCTGGCCACCTGCCAAGGATGGGCCTGCTAGACAGCTTCTGCCTGGACGAGGTGGGTTGGGCTTGACTTGGGGCCATTGTATCGTGTAGATTCTGTGCGGGTGCAACCTACATACTGACGTTGGTTTGCTAGAGAGCGCAAGATTTATCCTCACGGCTTGCATCCCCATGCGACCGACTTGAGGCCTTTGTGTTCAGATGTGGCACAGGCTCGCGCCCCGCTTGCCACTTTGCAGGACCTTTGGGGCGATGACACGGTGGTTTCCTGTGATTGCTGTTCTAAGCTCAGAATCAAGGAGTGACTTGTCAGTTTGGCCAGGTTCTCAAGATTCATTTGGGAGTCTGGGCTGAGGCACTGACCACCTCATCGGAGACCCGCTCTCGCAGTCTGCTTTGGTCTACAACAGCGGCAAGGACTCGCTTGACGGTAGTTTTGAGTTTCTGTGTTTGGTGTCGAACATCAGGCAAGATTTGCTGATTTACTAGTTCGCTTTTGATCCTTCAAAAACGAGGTGCACCACGGGCTGGGGAAGCGCCAATAAGCTCAGCCACCAAGATCTCGTGTGTCGGGCAGCTTCGCAGGAGCAAGCGCCTGCCTTCGAGCGCCACTCGGAACGCCCATAGCGCGCGACCACTTTTTACCGCCAGCGGCACTCCACGCGGCCTTCAGCGCCTGCGCCCCGAGGCAAGGCAGATGGCAGCACTCACCAGGTGGGCATGGTCAATGTGTGGTCCCTGGGTGGCCGCATCCCTGCGGTGCTTTGCGACCGCGGCCGCTTGACGTGCCGGGCACTCGGCCAACCGAAGCTTTCGAAGCGGAGGTCTGTGAGGAGCCGTGTTTGTGCGCTTCGGCTTAGCAGCAGCCCGCTGAGGCCACTGTGAAGACCCAGTTCGAGGCGAGCTTGTTCCTCATATCTTGCCTTCGTTGTGTCCAGCCTTCCCCGAGTTTTCCTTTTCCTCTTTTTTTGGTCTCTCCCTGTTTAATGCGGCAGGTTGGGCGGAGTTTGAGCCCGCTTGCCGCCGCGGCAAGCCCTGCGAGCCACCAGAGACGGTGGTGGAGGGAGTCAGCAACGGCTACGAGGAGCAGGCGGCAGGGTGCCGGCTGGCGCCGGGGGTCTGAACCAAGCGAACATGTTTGGATATGGCTGTGGGTCAAAACCAATGGTACCATCTTGGGGTAGGTGCACCACCCATTTTAGGAACCTATTTTTTAGTGGAGATTGGAATGTTCACTGGGGGTACGGGACCTGGAATGGTGGACATCAAATTAAACGTGGGTGGGGATTTGTGTCCGCCAACCACTTTTCACGGGGTTCCCCATTAACATTCACAGCCATATTGGAGCGAATCTTCGCCAAGCTGGGAGAGTGGCATCCTCAGCATGTGTCAGGATAAATCTTCCGGGAGGTGAGTTTGGGCAGATGACGGCACTAGAAATTGAGACCCTGCTGGCAGGCTGCGAAGTTGCAGGCCGCGCTTGCCAAAGCAAACGCTTCCAAGGCTGGCAAGGGTGCGTGATGCCCGCAAGAAGTAAGCCTTTGGAAGTTGCGAAACAGTCATGAAGCAGAAGTCAAGAAGCTCACAATCATTACACTAGGTTCAGAGGGGACATGGAAGAGCCTTCCGCTTGTCCTGTTGTTTGTGAATGTTGACCCAAACATAAAAGCTTATGAATCGGGTGCTTTGTTTGTTGGGGTGTAGCGGGGAATCAGACCACTTTGGGAGTGGCCAAAACCACCCCCTGTGAACGAAAACTGGGGTTGATGAATATGTGTGACTAAAATAGGGTCGACTTTATGTGAGATGTGCGCCCCACGTGCCCAGCTGCGCGAAAGCGCTTTGCGGCTCCCAGGCCGACGCCTTGCTGGAGGCAGACAGCGCCGCCGTTCGCTGCGCCTTTGGGGACCGAGTGCCGCTGGGTAGCGCCTTCTGCGAGGTCTGCGTCCGAATGGCTTGATGTGGAGACTTTGGTCCCCGAAATAGGGAAACCAGTTGGATGGTTTAGAACGGTCGGTCCCTTTCTCATTCCCTGCCTAATCGCAGCGGCAAGATGATGTCTTGCCGGGCCTTTTTTTTTTAACCTCCCCAACAGCTGAAAGCTAGAAAGAGCACCGCATGCTCTTGGAAATGTCACCTGAGCTTATTTTTGTGAATTCCCATTTTTGTGGCTAGTTTTCCATTTTTTTGGTGAATTACCATTTGTGTGGCTAGTTTTCCAATTTTTCATTGGTAGTTCTTGCAAGCGTTGCGGCAGGACTTCAGCGTGGAGCAGTGCGAGCGGACCTACTCCAGGACCAAGCGGGGCGTCCACCACGTCTGCGAGGTGGCTGTGGCTCAAAATTCAACTGCTGGGGTTAGTTCAGGTTTTAGTCTACCTTTCTATCTGCCAGGGTTTCTATTTACCAGGGTTTTAGTCTACCTTTCTTTAAAAATTACCCTCCCTCTCACTAACATGGCAACTGACAGGGGGTCCCTTCAAAAGGAAATTAAGCTTCCAGGTACCTCCCCACAGGTGCCATGTTAGTTGGAGGAAGGGTAGGTTTGCCTTTCTATTTCCCAGGGTGTCTATTTCCCAGGGTGTTTGTGAGCCCCAGCCAGGTGGACCAGAAGACCTTCCGCCACTGCGGCGCCACGCTGCTCACGGAGGCGGAGGCCCAGCAGCGCACCGCGGAGGCCATGTCCTGGGCGGTGCAGAACTTCTACACCCCGAGCCTGGACTGGAAGGCGGGTCCCGGGAGACGACCTGGCGGAGAAGCCGCCCATTTTCAAAACGCGGAAAAAAATCGTGTTTTGTTTTTTTAAGAGACAAAAGGGGGAGAGAGAAGAGCAGGCAGAGCCACGCGCAGGTGCGAACGGTGAATTTCACCACGAGGGTGGTGGAAGAGCCATTGCCTGCTGCAGACCTTTTCCAAGCACATGCCTGCTTCTCAGTCCGGACGAGCGGCTTTTGTCAGACTGTCACTCTTGTATCATACAAGAGTTGGGTTGACAAGGTGAGAGCATCAGGCCACGAGATGCAGACAAGATCAGTTCAGGGAGCAGTGTTGAAATCCGAAGTCAGAAAACAGGAGGGTAGGGATACTGGGATGGTCGACATGGGTGGTTGACGTGGCCATGACGGCTGGAACAGTGGGAAAGTGATGGGTTTGCTGGGCTCAGCTCGGATGTTTGGGAAGATAGGAGGACAAACAAGTGCAAATTGCCGGAGGGACAGGGTTTCAGGTTGGCCCAGGATTGGTTCAGGGTTGGCTTAGTGTGGATTGCCGTTTGTTCAGGGTTGGTTCAAGGTTGGTTTGGCGATAGGGTTTAGGGTGGGTGGCTCAGGGTTGGCTCGGTTGGTTTGGGGAGCGTTGAGTTAAGATGGGGTTGAAGCTTGTGTGGGTTGGCAAAGTGCTTAGGGTTTCTTGCAGGCTTGATTCATGAGGGTGGGTGAAGACACACAATGATTGGCATGAGATGGTGGGCCTCGGGGTGTTGAGGCCGCGTTGGAGGTGGGGGCAGATGGAAACGGTGCGCGCTTGCGCGCTGAGGTGCACAACCGAATGGAAGACCAAGGCACCATGGAGAAGCTTGAAGAGTGAGCCCGCGGATTGTGGTGGCGCAAAAAAAGAGTCTGCGGCAGCTCTGGAATCAGATAGTGTTGACCCCATATGAATCAACCCCAGTTTGTTAGTAGGGCTGTGTTCGTGTGTGGCCCCTCTAAAAGTGGTCTGACTCCCCACTAAACCCAGTTGGACACCCTATTAATCAACTGGTTGGTTAATTCTTCTCTGGGGTCAACATGAACCGAAAGGGCGAGGGGCCCACGGTTTTAAGAGGCTGGGGAGCTGCAAAGAGAGTTTGAGTTCTGCACGTGGTTTGCTTATGAGGTTCTGGTGAGGGAACGGTGTGAAGGGTATAGGGTGGGCCAGATGCGGATCCAGACGTTTAATGTGAACAGGACGAACTCCCCAACTGCGCCAAGATGCTTAAACGATACAGGTGTGACAGGGTTTGCCCATTGCAGAAGCGCACATCCTGCAAAACAGCCAGGCGCAGGCAGGCGACAATTCATGAACCTCTGGGTGATGGGATGAAATCGACATGAAACAATTGCAGGTCCATTCCAACGCCTTGTGCCATACCGACATCTATACGCACCTGGGCTGCAGCAAGGCATGTACCTGGTTACCTGGGCCCAACGGACTCCGGTTGCATCTTCATTACCCGTGATGTCGTTTGGCGTAGGGCCAATCTGTTTGCGCCTTTTTCCCGTGCGAGCCGGCCGCGAGCCCGCATTTCTGCTTGCCAGCTTACGCTTGGAAGGGGAACAGGTGAATGTATGCGGACAAATTATTCCATGTCGCGTCACTTGAGGACTTCTCAAATTCGAGGGTCACAAACTGAGAGACTTGCCGTGTGAGATGTGGCCAAGGGGCGCAACCATCCATGTTCACGCTTGCAGGCTGGGGGGGGGGTTCTTTGCCCAGGTTATCGGGACAAGATCCCGAGGGCCTCTTTCCCAGCCTCTCGGCCAATGGCGCGCATTGATTGGGGGTTGGCCAGCAGGCTTTGAGGCCTGAACACATCCCAGTTCCTGCCACCAGAGAGACTGAAAAGCTGAGGCATCCTCGGTCACGAGGCGGGCACTGAGGTGGAAAGTGTCGGCGAAGGAGTGGTAGGTGCCACGCTCAGGGCACCCGTGCACGAAAGCCTTCCTCGCCAAAGCCTTCCTTGCAAAACCCGGGTTGGGCGCACTTTTGTCAGCCGAGATGGTTCCCTTTTGTTTGGTACCGGTTTTTTGTAGCACATGTAGAGGTGTGGTCACCTAGCACTAATGTGGTCACTAAGAAGTAGCACCAAGGGATGTTTCCTTTCTCGTGTTCTGTTCTTGCGGGCGTCGTATGTCGGCAGCGAGGCCTTGGTACCGGTTTTTTGTAGCACATGTAGAGGTGTGGTCACCTAGCACTAATGTGGTCACTAAGAAGTAGCACCAAGGGATGTTTCCTTTCTCGTGTTCTGTTCTTGCGGGCGTCGTATGTCGGCAGCGAGGCCTGAAGGGTCTCCGTTTTTTTTGTTGGGGGGGTTTCCTCCTCGGATATGGATTTGGGTGCACGATTTTGATACCAGGGTTTGACTGCGGCTCAAATTGGAGCTTGGACGATGCCTGAGGACTGCATCTTTTGCTTCCCGCCGCGTGGCCGCTGTGGCCGCACAGAGCGCCAAAAAATGCAAAGCTGCAGCTGGCCAGTGGCCCCCGGCCGGCTGGCCGGCTGCGGTCGCCGCAAGTTGGAAGGTTGAGGGTCGGCTTTCCGTTCGGAGCTGCTCGTGCCTCGCGGCCATGGAGCCGGCTTTGTCGGGAGATTTCTGAGGCAAGCGCACCAATCTGTGCCCCAAGATCCGTGGCACACAAGGTGCGCGCTGGGGCAATGGGTGTTTTAGGGAGAGTTGCGCAGTTCCTACCTGCAATTCTACCAGTCCCTCCGCTTTGGCAAGCATGTTGAGTTTGCAACCGTAGTGGGCCAGCGGGTATGACTAGTGCTGAGTGTTACATTTGGATCGCAAGTAGCGAGGTGCCGTGAAGGCAGGCTTCGGAGCTCGGCAGGCAGTGGAGTCATGCCGGATGGCACCAGCAGGTTCACCGATTCCAGCGGAGCGGAGATCAAGCCCCTCGAACATGTTTGGACTGACGAAAGGCTGATGATTTGGCTGTTGTAGCTGCCAGCTTCCCCAAAATGCAGCAAGGGTAGGTGGGATCTCCGGCGCTCTTGGTTCGGCACTGTTCCCGCCCGGGGGGACCAGCATGTCGCCCTGGCGGAGCCTGAGTTATGTCCTCCAACATCTCTATGTTGCCTGAGGCACTTTATGGGGTGCTCCACCTTCTCTGAGTACACTGTGGTTGCAGACATCTCCTGTGCCAAGGCCCGGAATCGGCTAGATATCTTTTCCACTTAGCCGCGTTTGCCCTGTATATTTGTGTACATTGCATGGCACTTGCTTTCTGTAACTGCACTAGGTCTCCGACACGGCGCCCTTGGATGCGGCTTGTCATCATGAGTTTGAGCAAGAGCCCGGCCTTTTGAGTATGGATGAGCTTTCCATGCTGGTGGATTTTGTTGTCCCTTCCATGCACCGAGTTTCAGTTCCAACTCCACGAGAGCGGCAGTCTTGTATTGCTTGTTGCCATGCAGCAATGCCGAGGTTTGCTCCCTGCTGGGTTGCGGCGTGTCGATACTTGTTTGGAATGGGTCCCCTCAATCAACTCAGGGCAAGCTTAATGTTGACCCCATATGGATCAACCCCAGCTCAGTACTAGGGGTGTGGAGGCCCCAGCAGAAGTGGTCCCCACCAAACCCAGATGGACATTGTATGAATACACTGGTTGGTTGACTAAATATGGGGTCAACGTTAAAGCGGTTTGATTCCCCCCTAAACCCAGTTGGTTGACGAACGGAGCGCACTGAACGCTCTGAGGACTGGCCTGGGCGCTGCTTGGAACACCCTGAACGTCGAGGGCGGCTCCAGCGTCGCGGTCTTCGGCCTGGGCGCAGTTGGCCTCTCTGTGATACAAGGCGAGTGGCAAGTGCTGCCTGAAGCTCGGCTATGCAAAAAAAGCGCACGTTCACACGTGCATGCATATACATATAAATGCGCACACACACACACATATATATATATATTATATGTGTATATATGTATATATATGTATATATATTTATATACAGAGACTGAGTTCATGTCTAAATGATTATCTACACGCAGATGTCCCTGTTGTGTGTGCGTCTTCGAATTTTCCGCGCGCCATGCTTTCCGGCTTTCCGCCGTTCCACGAGCGCCCTGGGGCTCGGCGCCAGGCGCGGCGATGCGCGGCGCGGCGCGC